TTCTAGATTGTATTAGAAACCAATGTCAACATGGATATATCTTAGAGTTCTTCTAGATATCCTTTACAATACAAATCATTTCATAATCATCAATGTATTCATTTTAAATCATGGTTTCACAATAATGATTTTAATCACAAGGTTCATCAATATTTAATCATCATATTTATTTCCAAAAATCATTTCCATAATGATCACATTTATTTGATATCAAGAATATGATTTAATATTTCAAAAATAAGTTATCTGAAAAGTTTCTCTGGTCCATGCACATAATAATCAATTAATTTTAGGTAGGAAAAATCGATTAATCACTTCTGACTTCAAATGCTTCAGCGGAACAAAGGGCTACTCGATTAATCGAAGATAGGAAAATCTATTAATTACTTCTGACTTCAAACGATTCAGAGGAACAAATTTTTAATCGATTAGTCAAGATACAATAATCGATTATTTGCTACTGATTTCAAATTCTTTAGCCGAACAATCAATTAATCAGTTGAATTAATCTATTATTGGCTACTGTTCACCGTCTCCTTCCTCGGGTTCATTTTTGAAAATATCATTTTTAGTCACTAAACTTCAATTGAATTATAGAGGAATGTTCTCCAATGTTCATATATCATTTTGGTATCATTAATTCGTAGTTTTAACAACAATTTCATGTTTTATGATTCTTGGCTCTTCAAACATGTCAAACACAAAACTCAACCAAACGACCGTTTATGAACGTAGAAACGATCTATACGAACATTCTAGTCACTAGATATATCTACGGGCTTAACTCAAAGCTTAATGAAGGTTTTGAGATTCTTCCGGCAAAACTTTTGGCGATAATTGCACCCAACTTCGTTGACCTCTTACCAAATGGGCAGCACCACTGCGTTCTTCCCACTCAGAGCAACAGAATAGGAAGAAAAATTGTGAATAATGGTGAGAAAGTGAAGGAGTTGAAGAGGACTTTATATAAGAGAAGAAGAGGAAGCTGCCAATGGTGATGTCCTATTTCCTGTTTGCATGGCTGAGTGGAGCGAACGACGATTACTTCAGATTTCAAACGCATGTCCCTGATTGGGACTTAATTTGGTCCCAATCCGGGTACACTTTTTGGTCCAACTTTCTCCGAATTAAAATTCGATTGAACCGTTGTGGTCAAACATTCAAATTCCACACAACGATATAATTTTCATTATTTATTGTCAAACTTTTATAAATCACTTATTTTTGGGTCCTTCTCAGTAATTAATTATTAATTAATTAATTCTCATAGGACTATTTTTGGGGCATTACATTTTTCTTCTCCTTAAAATAATGCGTCCTCGAAATTACCAGTCATAGATTGAAGAGATTCGGATATTGTGTGCTCATCGATTCTTCAATTTGCCAAGTCGCTTCTTCAGTCGAGTGGTTCCTCCATAGTACTTTGACTAGAGGGACAAATTTGTTTCTCAGTTCCTTGATTTCCCGTGCTGGGATTTGGACACGATCTTCTTCATAGGTTAAACTTTCGTCAAGTGTTACAGTTCCATCGGTCAAGATATGCGATGGATCAGAATGATATCGTTTTAACATTGACACATGGAATACGTCGTGAATTTTGTTCACTCCGGGTGGAAGTTCTAACTGATAGGCTATTGGACCCACATGTTTAGTGATGCAATTGGGTCCAATATACCTCGGACTTAGTTTTTCCTTCCTACCAAACCGTAACACTTTCTTCCACGGCGAGACTTTTAGAAACACCTTGTCATCCACATTGTATTCAATCTCTCGACGTTTCAAATCAGCATAAGATTTTTGTCGATCAGAAGCCACTTGGAGTTTTTCTCTAATGAAACAAACTTTTTCTTAAGTTTCTCAGACAAGATCAAGTCCTTTAAACTTTTCCTTGCTTAATTCTGTCCAACAGAGTGGGTTCTACAACGTCTCCCATACAGGGCTTCGTACGGGGCCATTTGGATACTCACTTGATAACTATTGTTATAAGCAAACTCCATTAGCGGTAAGTATTGTTCCCAGTTGCTTCCGAAATCGATCACACATGCCCTCATCATATCTTCTAGGATTTGAATTGTTCTTTTAGATTGTCCATCCGTTTGTGGGTGAAATGCTGTACTAAAGTTGAGTTTTGTACCTAGTCCTTTCTGCAGACTCTCCCAGAATTGTGACGCGAATCGAAGGTCACAATCAGAAATGATAGACAAAGGTACACCATGTAATCTTACGATCTCACAGATATACAATTCTGCCAACATTTTTAATGGTGTATAACGTCGAATCAGTATGAAATGAGATGACTTGGTTAATCGGTCAACGATTACCCAAACAACATCATTCTTCTTGATTGACAATGGAAGTCCAATCACGAAGTCCATCATAATTCTTCCCCACTTCCATTTGGGAATCGTAGGCAGATGCAACAGTCCACTTGGCAACTGATGTTCAGCTTTGACTTGTTGACATGTTAGACATCGGGTCCTAAATTCTGAAATTTCACGTTTCATCGTGGGCCACCAATATGTTTTCTTCAGATCTTGGAACATTTTATTAGTACCATGATGCATGGTATACACGGTTTTGTGAGATTCACGCATTAAATGTTCTCTCACTTCGCCATTAGGAACTATTAGACGGTTCCAGTAGAATAAACCCCATCGTTCACAGTGAAGTCTTGTCTCTCCCCCTTAGAGACAAGTTTGCAAGTATTCAAAAAATATTCGTCACTTCTTTTTGCAACTTGAATCTCGTTCTCCAGAGTTGGTTGGATTCGGAGTTTGGCTACCATCTTTCGACTTAATGCATCAGCTACTATGTTAGCTTTTCCAGGATAGTAGTCGATGTAACAATCGTAATCCTTGATCAGTTCAAGCCATCTTCTTTGCCTCAAGTTTAACTCTTTCTGAGTCAGCAAGTATTTGAGACTTTTATGGTCTGTGTGAATATATGTCGTCTCTCCAAAGAGATAATGTTAGACAAAAGTGCAACTCTAGAGGGGGGGGGGGGTGAATAGAGTTGTTCGCTAGAATGTGCGTAAATCGCATGTGTGAAAATAAGAGAAAATCGCAGGAAAAATGTAAAGAGCAAGGGAAAGGAGTACACCATGATTTATACTCGTTCACCACCTCGTGGCTAGTCCAGTTCTCCGAGAGACTCTCTCAAAGGTCCTACTAAAACTTCAAGCTTTAACAGGTGCTTGAAAAACCGATACAACTCGAGAACTTGAATCACACAAGCCTCAACTTCTTACAACAAGACTTGAGTCACACAAGCCTTAACAACAACAAGACTTGAATCACACAACTCTTAAAAACACTCAAATAAGATTGAGTTTACAACACAAGAGATGAAGCTCACAAAAGATCAAGTAGTGTTTATAGTGTAAGCTCTATGGATGACAATATCTTTGCACTCAAGAATATATATATATATATATATATATATATATATATATCTAGCTCTCAAAATAGTATTTGATTATCAAGAGATGGAGCAAGAACCAAATATAATGAACGAGAGGATTGGTGTGCTTGTATTATATGTAGAATGAAAGAGGAAGAGGGATTATATAGGTGAAAAATTGATATGTTCGTTGGGGCAAGAAATTGGCTAAGTAAGACATACAACGGACAAAAAAATCGATTTGTACAAAGAGCGAAAATCGATTAGATGCTTCTAAACAAAATTCCTTCTGCGCTATAGGTAGCGAATCGATTAATTGAGGATCCGTTTAATCGATTTAACCTAGAAATAGATTTCACCAAATGTGAATTAATCGATTAAAAAACTGGGCGAGAGAACCCAATCAGAGGAATAAGAGAAATAGATTTGCACAAAGAAAAAAAAATCGATTAATACTGCAAATTTCTCAGGGACAACAAGAATCAATCAATGGCGAGATAGAGAAGGACATTTGTCCCTATCTTGTTGTTCCCCACATGATTCTAGCACAAGAGGCTCCCAATCACATCTAAGGATTATTCAAAATAAATTTTTGAATAAATGGGGTGATTTGTGATTTGGAGAAAAGAAATTGAGTCCCAAAAATATTTTGTGTGTCAATTGTTGAAAAAAAATTTTGATAAAAATATTTTTGCTTCCAAAAAAAAATATTTTTCAAGTATGAAAAAGATTATTTAAAAATTGTTTGACACACCTTTTGTAACTCACTCAATAAATTTATTTTTGAATCGTTAAAGGATTTTTCAATTGACTCCAAAAATAAATATAAATGTTTAATGTATATCCCTCAATGAAGTAAAATTTTAAGTAAAAGGATATTTTGTCATCCTTACAAATTTCCTAGACTCAAAGAAATAAAAGTCTTCGGAAGGCTTCTCTTTACTTCAAGATCTTGCATGGGGATATTGAACAGTAGTCGTTGTGAATTTGTTGATGTGTCTTCTGCTTTCTTGAACTGAAAAATAAATTTTCGTTCTTCGTTGCGTTTGTCATTTATCAAAACCTGAAATATTAATTTCATGACAAAAAATATCTAAAAGGGTTTGAACTCATGCCCAACAATTTCCCCCTTTTTGATAATGACAAACATAGTTAAAATAAGAGCAAACGAATCAATAAAATACTTTCCTTTGACAGAAGAGTTCCCCCTGCAAGTTTTGGAAGTAAATAGAAATAAACGGAGTGATAACGGAAAACGTTTTTGAAAAGATTTACTCAACTATCTTTCCTTCCCACTTTTGGCATTATGAAAAGGACCTTCCCCCTTAAACTAAGCTTGGGTTGTGAAGGATAGCCCAAAAACGAGTTTCGAAAAAGAATTTTTGAAAATTTTGGAATAGTTTCCCTTAAAAGGTGGACTAATGCAATTTTAATATTCAAAGGGACAATATGTTCTTAAAGAGAAACATATTGCCAAACAATCACACATGCCATAATAATACGAATTAAAACATTCAATAAGTGTAATTCAAGCAACATAATGTTATTGGTCAACGAGAACAGTATGATAACACAACAAAGTAACAGAGACTCATCATAAGCATATAATAAAGTCACATAGAATTAGCCGGCCTAGGCCCTCCAGAGAAGCTGTGACGAGGACCTCGATATGAGTGGGAGAAGCGGGAATCCTCAAGGCGGGAGACTCAATCCGAAAGATGTCTGATGTCATTACGAACACACGTGATGGCATCCAAGATCCTCCGGACCCAAGAAGGCTCGGGCTCATCCGCGGCTCGGCTAGTCTCTTCCCCTGCATTGCTTGTTCCTTCACCAGCATTGCTAGGTCCTGCTCTCGAGCGGCTACGAACGGCCTCGGTCTCGGCTTCACTCTCATGGATGCTTTCATTTTGCTCGATCACTCGGTGTTGAGGCATTTCACCCTCGTTCCGGCAAATGACACGATTGAACTTCGTTTCTTGGATCATGTCTTCTTCACCGGCACCCTTGTGTCCCGTGAAAAGTGAAAGGTAACCACGGTTGGGAGGGTAGCGGAAATACAAAATTTAATCTCCCAATAGTGATTACTAGACCAAGAACACGTACTAAAACTATAGCTAGAGATAGAAACTTATACCTTCTCCGGTAAAGCGGTACGAATGAGAAGTCGAGCAAAAGATGTTGAAGGAGCAAACGTAGTTGTTGAAGCGTCCGGCCTCCAACTTTGACACACGAACAATCTCCGGAGTCTACTATAATCTTTATGCTAGTAAAGATTATACTAGTATATTTAATATAAAGATTATTTTAAGGATAATATAAATCTTGTATATTAAATACTAGAAAATATATCAATAATATTTTAAAGAAAATATTATATCAATTTTCTACACCCAAAATAATAACTTTGGAAACAAAAATTATTTTCTCTCTCTTGCTCCTTCACTTGGCCGAAACTCCTCTCATCATTTGGAGTGAAGAAATTTCATATTATAATGTTAAGAGCATAATGTGAGAAAACATATTCAAAAGCTAAAAGCCAAGAGTACATCAATTATCATGAAGTGTAGTGGGAGACAAAGCCCCACACACATCAAAATGTACAAGGTACAAAAATAGGAAGGGGGAAGAATTTAATTCTTCTCCTCCCAAATGTTCAAAGTGTAATTTATTTGACATCAATAATTTTAATGATATAAAATAAAATACCCAAAAACATTTTAAAACAAGTATATAAAATATACTTTAAAATTTTTTTTGTCAAAATAATTATTTTCGTAATTAAAATGACACTCCAAAATAAAATGTACAAAATATAATATTTAATGTAATATATATATGTGTACATGTTATTAAAGTATATTACATACATATATATGTACGCACATACATATTACATATATATGTATCTACACTATCATGTATCCATATATATATGTGTGTGTGGCGTGAGTAAAGTATACATATATATTAGATATTGATGGACAATAAATCCACCAAATGATCCGATTTACAGAGCGGATCGCAAGAATAAAATTAAGAACAAGAATTCGAGAATTGGATGTGTATTACTAGCTTGATTTAGCTTTTTCTTCCTCCCCTTTCGGGTCTCTTCTATTTATACACGAGCTCTCAACAATTAAGGTGAAGCATAACCGATGGAGTCTAGCCCGCCAAGGGCGCGATCCCCTTTTCCCGGCTCCGTAACGGCCAATCAGCTCCGTCTCCTTCTCCGGACTGACTCTGCCAGCTGCGCTTGGCCTGAGGTTAACTAGGCCCAGCTCCTTGGGCCGGCCCAGCTTGAGTATCTCACAGGTGCTTGACCCGAAGCTGTTTAAATGGTTCATTTGGGCCGTCCTCTGGATATCGGCCCATCATAAGCCCCCCAACTCCTCAGTCCTCAGCTGGGCCAAGCGGAGGAGTGGGGAGTTTGCAAAGTCCACGTGGACGCTCTAGCGGGGATCCGGGCCGTTCCTTGGGTTCCGCACGACACTTGGGCACGATCTCCACAAATAAGTAATCATGGCCTGCCGATTCGCCTTCCTGTTGTCAGTTAAAAACCGCCGCTGGACGCCATCTCTTCCTTTCGCCTTCTTCACTACCGTTCGTCTGCAACTCCGCTGCTCACCCGACTCGTTCTTCTTCCTGTCCAGGTCAGTTCCTTCTCTCGCCGCCATGATTGTCTC